GAAAGTTCATTGACAGAAAAGCCATTATTATCTTAACGATCTTATTTGGAAATTACTAAATAAAAAATTGAAGTTGAATAGGAAAGTGAAGTTGAATAAAAACGGCAAGTTGAATAAAAATAAAAATGGAAGTTGCGTAAAATTAAATACGGAAGTTAATTCTTCTAGACTCATATACTGGACCTTAAACGATCCATTTGGAAATATAAATAAAAAAAGAAAATTGAATAATACAGAAATCGAAAAAAAATGGAAGTTGAAATTAAAAATAAAACGTAAGTGCCATAAAAAATAAAAAATGGAAGTTCATTCAAGAAACCACTATACCTTAACGATCTATTTGGAAATTAAATAAAAAATGAAAGTTGAATAGAAAAGTAATTGAAAAAAAATGGAAGTTTGACTAAAAATAAAATGGAAGTTGCATAAAATTAACAAATGAAAGCTTTCGTTCAAGAAACCAACTTACCTTAACCGGCCTATTTGAAATAAATAAAAAATGAAGTTGAATAAGAAAAGGAAATTGAATAAAAATGGAAGTTGCAAAAAATTAGCAATAGAAGTTTTCATTCAAGCAACATCTATTACTTAACGATCTATTTGGAAATTAAAATAAAAACGGAAGTTGAATAGAAAAGTAATGCTATACGCGACGCCCGGTCTTTTTCTCTTTAAATTATTGTATCCGGACTTCAGGGTTCCGTGGAATCTGTCATTACTTATTGGTTGTCGTTGTCCTTTAATCTCTTTGTATTTGAAGTATAGGTTGGGTTGGTCGTGTCCTGTTACAGGTTGGTTGAACTTTAGAGCCAAAGGTGATTGCCAGATTTTGGCTTCAGCTGGCTTCGAGAAGTTTAAACCCGCTTGAGCGTCCTTCGTTTGTTTCCGCGCTTCGAAGCGGGAATTTTGAACGCTCGAGGCCCGTGATTTTTCCATCTCCCAGTATTTTTTGCTCTGTAGATTCTTCTTCCGCTCGAGCGGTAGTTTTTTTAACGCTCGAGCGTGAATCCCTTGTTTTTTGCTCCTCCGCTCGAGCGGGGCGTTTTGACGCTCGAGCGGTGCCAGCGCCTGCAAAACTTCCTGGAGGGTGCAATCGGACGTCTCGACGCGGCTTTCCTTCAGCGCTCGAGCATCGATCTGTGGTCTTACGCTCGACGCGAGCTTTTCTACGCTCGAGCGTAGAGTCGATTATATCAGTCCCGTGAATTTCACTTTTTTGGAATCACTTTTTGACCTACTTTTCCTTCATAACTTTTTAAAAAAACCAGACCTGGAAGTGTTTTTATCTCTCTCTCTCCCTCTACACAACACCTTCTCTCTTTCCGATTGTCTTACTTTAGAGTGATGTTTCTACCTAGATCTTTATTAGAAAAGATAGAGTGAGTGTCGAGGGCTCGTATTTAATAGCTGCAGAAACGGTTGGTGTTTGGAGTCAAAGTTGGGTTCATTGGTCTTCTCTCTCTTCTCATGTCGGGTTATTTCTTCGAGGTAGGGAATTTTCCTCTCTCAATTTTCATAATATCTTTGTTCAAGTTTGGGTAATTTGATAGGTTGGGGACACTTTGAAAATTTTGGGAAAAAAACCCTAGTTGAATGCTAAACTTGATTTGAAGTTTTTGACTCCTCTTGGAGCCCTTCTGCCCTTCCTCCTCCTCTTGCATCATGATCTCCATATGAGCTACAGCATCAACCAGACGCCCATAGTCTCGAATCATAGACCCCCCAACTCTCAGCTTGAGGCCACGCCTCAACTTCTTCTCAAACTCGATACAACGGCGTTCCTCAGACACCACCAACTCAGGTGCAAACCTGGACAAGCTAGTAAATGCAGCCTCAAACTCGACCATTGAAGAACTCGCCTGCTTAAGCTGACAAAACTGGCCTCGCAGCTTCTCCTTGACTGCTGAAGATAAAAACTTCTCCTGGAAAGCATTCACAAAAGCCTCCCTTGTACCTCCTATACGACCCTCAGTAAACTTCCACCACTGACCCGCATCCCCCTTCAACTGGAAAGATGGTAAGGTCACTTTCAACCCCTCGTCTTCGATGCCAAGTATCTCAAACGTCTTCGTTGTCTGTTCGAGCCATTCATCTGCCTTAAGCGGCTCTCGTCTTCGATGCCAAGCATCTTAAACGTCTTCGTTGTCTATTCGAGCCATTCATTTGCCTTAAGCGGCTCTTTAGGATCACCCACAAATTCATCCGGATTAGACCGGAAGAACTCCCTCTTCAGAAAGGAAGGTCCTGCATCTGCAGCAACATCCTGAGCTTGATTCTCAGCTCTAAGAATGCCTACTGACTCCCTGAATGCCCCTGCTATCTCTCGGGCTAAAGCGCCCATAGCCTGCTGGCCTACTGGCTCGGCCACATTGGCCTGGCCAATTCCCTCATGAACTGCCGGAATCTCCTCTGGCACAGGCACCTCCTGCCTACCCGGCCTACACGCCTACCGCGTCCTCGTCCTGATATCCTAATAAAGGAAACAAAGACGTTAGCACATTAATAAATGTGCCGAAGCTAAACACTCGCGTCCTAATGCATGGGACAACAATAATTCATTCCATGTAAGTACATAATCACATAAGCACCTACGAATTTCGTTCCCAGATAATGATAGTCCCAATGCATTACTATAATTCCGGTTGGAAACAGCAGTGATCAAGGGCCTTTCCAACAAGACTACTAGAAACTCAGGGGTCCAATCAACATCCTAGAAACTACATTCCATACCCACATAATCACATAAACATGTTATCACATAAGCATATAACATTACACTAAGTCTCTATCAAACGAGACGAACACAATGTGATACTAATCACTTCCCACGTACCCAAAGTATTCAAACCCGGTACGCTCTGATACCAAGTTGTGGATCTTCCCAACTATCACCTGAGGTTAGGCTAACGTCACTAAAAAGTCCTTTGGTCAATAGCTAGGTAAGATGTTAGGAAGGTTGGAGGAGTCAATATAGCCTCCATTCTAAGTCCAACCACCTTAGATAGCAAGCTATCTTTTCGACAGATCTTAACAGGTATTAACGCAAAGTCTCATAAGTAACGCGGAAATAGTCATAGGATTAGAAAGATATATAAGCAAATAATAATTACATTGTTTCAAAACTTAAATTTCAGAACGAGTTTCATTACTATTACATTCCAAAAAAAAAAAACAACAAACTCATAAGCAAAATGGCTTCTAATTTTCTCTAAGGTAAACATAAGTTTTCACATGTCTCTGGCTCTTATCGCTCGAGCGACAAACTCCTCGCTCGAGCGAAGATCTAAAATTCTGGACAGCAACACTTGATTCCTAAACACAACCAACCTGAAACAAACCTGCCCAACACATCCTATAATTCCAAATGAGAAAATAAGGGACAACAACAACCATCATACAATGACAGAATCTACGGAACCTATGTCCGGACACAATAGTCAAATGGGAAAAGACCGGGGTCGCTATAGGTCCATCCCCTATCTTCCCCTAAACCGTGGAGTACATCCCCTATCTTCTCCTACACAAAACAATGTATGTAAACACATAACATATACAACACACAATCAATGCACATAATGTCTGTATTAATTCAACAGTCAAAATTGATGACTTAACCAATGTGATTAGTTTCAGTTTTTCCTAATCCACATGCAATTTCTACAACAATCACGACTATCCTCCACCGATAGCCCAAAACAGTTATTTCTAAACAGGAAATAAATGAATCAACTAATATAATTTCAACATTTTCATAGGTGAGTGATTAAACAAATCAACTACACCATTTAATTAATAAATTCCTCAATTTCATGAACTCAACTAAATTCCCCAATTTTCCCTAAATTAATTATACAAATTAATTTATTACAACAATTAGAGTTTTTCCCAAAATTACCAAACAACCCCCAACATATCAAAATACCAAAACTTAGGACAAAACCTATAATATGGAGTTACCTCGAAGAAAACAACCCAAATGGAGAAGACAGAGATGAATACAAATACCAATGTGCTCTAAATCGCCAAATGTTCAGATTAAATGAAAGCCCTCGACTCCCTCTATCTTTTTAATAAAGAAACTAAGGTAGAAACACACTCTAAATAGATCAAACCTAAGAGAGAAGGTGAGTAAGGAGAGAGAGAAGTCGGACCTAGGGTTTGGAATAAAAAAGAAGATGAAAAAGACTGATCAAAACCCGCTGCTGCGTAAATAAATTGGACAGGCTCGCTCGAGCAAATACATGGTCGCTCGAGCGACCAGACACAAGAGAACCTCGCTCGAGCGAAGAAAATCTCGCTCGAGCCAAGAATGCAATACTACAGGTCTATACTAGACGCAAACTCTCGCTCGAGCGACCAAACTCCGGCTCGAGCGAAGAACCAAAAACAACATCTCGCTCGAGCGACCAACTCCTCGCTCGAGCGAAGATCCAAAATTCTGGACAGCAACACTTGGTTTCTAAACCCAACCAACCTGAAACAAACCTGCCCAACACATCCTAACTCCAAATGAGAAAATAAGGGACAACAACAACAATTATACAATGACAGAATCTACGGAACCTAAGTCCGGATACTATAATCAAATGGGAAAAGACCGGGGTCGCTATAGTACTGGATAGTTGGCCCCCAAAGATGCTATCAATAAAAGTAGGACCCAGATTTGAGGGAATCCCATTTTCCAGAGAAGTAGTCTGTTTTCTTGCACTCAACTCTTTAGTACACAACCCATCGAGTAAACAACGAAGCAACTCATGACTGTCATGCTGTTGATACCCCCTAAATTGGGAAGCCTTGGCACAAACACACCCGAAAAAGAATTTTGGATTTATCACATTTCTCAAGCCAGCCTCTGGACTAGTTTCAAAAAAGAGCTTCTTTAAAGAAATGGTAAGAGGACCTACAGACTCATCCAATTCCAAGAAGTGATTCCGTAATCTCTCCATTGCTAAGAGATTCTACATGATTGAATTAAAGAAGCAAGTATGACCAAGATTAACCAAGCCTTTGATCACATAACCACTTTTTCCATCCAAACTACTTACAATGATGTTTTCTGATTTTATCTCACTTATAACACTGCCACTCCCAAAATAAACATCCTCAACATCCACTGAGGCCCCTTGAAATGATTGCCCCTTTATCAATTTCACAATATCTAACAGTGGATCTTTCTGTTCACCACTTTCCTCCAATTTTTCAACTGGAATAAGTGTATCGCAAGGGAAGCACCAGCATAGTTGAAGGTTTTCAAATTGGATAGCCAATGGATGACGAGTTTGCCTGGCATGCGGAACTGCATGGGTTTGAGGGGTTGTTGGGAATCCAATCCCCCCACATGAAAGATGACCACATTCCAGACAAACCCAAATTGCTTTAGACTCGGGTTTCTTGTCCACAGAACCTCCCCCTTTCTTCTTCACCTGCTTGCCCCTTCCCCTACTTGCCCGCCTATCAACCACACCTTCTCTACAATCTTCACACCTAATACGTTCTATAGAACTTATTCTTGAAGAAATTTTAGCTAAATCAATACCCTTATCAAGATGGGAACACACTTTCCTCTCTTTTACGACTGAAAGTCCATCATCAGTGCTTGGAATGCTTTGTTGGGCGACAGTTTCAGTTTTCTGAGAAAGGGTAGAAACTCGCTTCTCTGTATAACCACTTCGGGCTTTCTTCTTAACTTTTTTCGCCATTAATTCCTAAACCAATCCAGGAAAACTATAAACACCAAATACCCAAATAGAAATAAAACCAAATCTAAATCCCATTTGGATTGAGGGGTTTGACTGTAAAAGAAAAGAAATGGTGAGAAACAAAAATCTTATCACTTATTTGGATGAATGAGGAGAGGCAAAATGACGTGAAAGGAAGAAATTGAGAGAAAGTGAAGTCTTTTAAAACTCATGTTCTTTTTTAACCAAACTTGGTGCCATTTAGTGGCAAATGTAAAAATTTTACAATACCTATCTAAATTAAAAATTAAAAAGAAAAAAGAACACCAATAGACCCCTCTTTCTATCATGTTCATCCAAACATAATGTGAGAAACCGCAATTATTTCTTTTCCTCACTACCATAATCTTTTCTTTTCATTCCTTACCTAACTTACCAAAAGGACTGTTAAGCAAACATCCTAATGATTAGGGGAAAAAAAAAAAAAACTTCCAAAGCAATCCAATAAAACAATAAACACTAAATAATTAATAATTTAAAAAAACAAACTAACAATTATTAGTAAACCAAACCATTCCTAAAATCCCAATAGTCAATTAATTACAAACCCACATATTAAAACAGAAGGAAAAAAAAAAATACAAAAAAGCATAATCGCATCAAACGATCAAAACAAGAGATACACTCTACAACCCAATCCAATTATTCCACCAATACATACAAATATTGAAAAAAAGTGAAACACATAAAAGATTTGTGTTCGGAAGATACCCAGATGATTAAAAAGAACAAAATATTCACCTCAAAATCTGATATTGCTTAAACAATCTCTGATGGATTCTCAGAAAGAAACTGGCGTTCGAAGATTAGGATCTAAAGAGAAGGGTATTGAGCTGTGTTAGAGTCAGTGTAGTGCGCATTTTAAGGGTTTGGCGCACCCTCATGGTCTCTCTCTACTAGCCCACTCTCTTTCTCTCTCTCAATTGGGGGGAGGAGAGTGAAACAGAGAGGAGGTGGAATTGGAGGTAAAAACACGGTTAAAAAGAGGACAGGGTTTTATTAAAGAATAATGCTTGGGACTTCTTTTGGGAGTCACCCCTCACCCCTTTGCTACCTCTCACCCCTTTGCTACGTGACGGGTGGTGATTGGAGGAGTAGGAAAAAAAAAGAAAAGAAAATGTAACCAATGAGAGAGAGAGAGGGGGTCAAAGGGGGTGAGAAAAAAAAGGGAGATGAATCATTGTTGTTTATTAAAATGGAAAACCCTGAAATCCCAAACAAAAGTAGACTATATTTGTTTTGTTTTTGTTTTTTTTATTGAAAAAAATTCACTTCATCTAAGGATTTGGTATCAAATACTCTGCCAATTAGGACAGTGTAAAATACCGATCAATTTGTTAAAATTGCATCGATCTATCTTAATTGTACCGCTCTATTCGCTAATCGCGATTTAAATTTTAAAATTTATAATCCGTCATCGAAACCGTTCTGCTCCGCTATAATTAATACATATATATTTTTGACATATAATGAAATATCAAAGTAAAAATGAGTGTGAAAGAGATTTAAGATATGAAATTTATTACAAATTAGTAGTTATGCCTCCGTTTGGGAAGTGGGTTGGCTTTTTGGCTTTTTGGCTTTTTGGCTTTTTTGGCTATTTTAGCCTGGGCTAAAAAGCTTGGTTTGGGAAGGACTTTTTGGCTTTTTGGCTTTTTTGACTTTTTTTTGTGAGAGAAGAATGTAATGATTATAGGTTGGATGTGATGTTTTGTTTGTTATGGCTAAAATAGCCTATTTTGTTTTTTGTGGCTAAAATAGCCAAAAAAGCCTGAAAAAGCCCTTGCCAAACACAGGCTGTGTTAGTTATGAGATGTAGTTATGAGATATGTGATTGTAGTTATGAAATATATGATATTGGTTATCAACAAAATGGTGTTAGTTATGAGATGTAGTTATGAGATATGTGATTGTAGTTATGAAATATATGATATTGGTTATCAACAAAATGGTGTTAGTTATGAGATGTAGTTATGAGATATGTGATTGTAGTTATGAAATATATGATATTGGTTATCAACAAAATGGTGTTAGTTATGAGATGTAGTTATGAGATATGTGATTGTAGTTATGAAATATATGATATTGGTTATCAACAAAATGGTGTTAGTTATGAGATGTAGTTATGAGATATGTGATTGTAGTTATGAAATATATGATATTGGTTATCAACAAAATGGTACTGGTTATGAGATGTGGTTATGAGATATGTGATGAGAGCTCATAACTAAGTTATGATTAATTTGATTTTAGTTATGAACAAATATGATTTTGGCTCATAACTATAAAAAGTGACCTGCTTACCAGGTCACTTTTAATGATGTGGCTCAATCTGAACCATTGATTTTCTATGTACCATACATTTTTTAAACAAAATGTACTATAGACTTTCCCCTAAAGAGAAGGGTATTGAGCTGTGTTAGTGTCAGTGTAGTGCGCATTTTAAGGGTTTGGCGCACCTCATGGTCTCTCTCTACTAGCCCACTCTCTTTCTCTCTCTCAATTGGGGGGAGGAGAGTGAAACAGAGAGGAGGTGGAATTGGAGGTAAAAATACAGTTAAAAAGAGGAACAGGGTTTTATTAAAATGGAAAACCCTGAAATCCCAAACAAAAGCAGACTAATTTGTTTTGTTTTTGTTTTTTTTTTTTATTGAAAAAGATTCACTTCATCTAAGGATTTGGCATCAAATACTCTGCCAATTAGGACAGTGTAAAATACCGATCAATTTATTAAAATTGCATCGATTTATCTTAATTTGTACCGCTCTATTCATTAATCGCGATTTAAACTTTAAAATTTATAATCCGTCATTGAAACCGTTCTGCTCCGCTATAATTAATACATATATATTTTTAACATATAATGAAATATCAAAGTAAAAATGAGTGTGAAAGAGATTTAAGATATGAAATTTATTACAAATTAGTAGTTATATATATGAAAAATATTATGTAAAATTAGTTTGTGTTATATATACGAAAAATATTATGCAAATTAGTGTTATATATTTTGCAAAGGCTTAATAATTAGTTAAAATATTTTTCAATCAGTCAATCCGCCAAAAACCACTCAAACTGCAATTTGCCAATCCGCTCAAAACCGCTCAAATCACAGTTTGCCAATCCGCCATTGAGGCCATAATTTTACGCTCAAATCGCCCGAACTGTACCGTGCACACCTCTACTGTCAATGGCTACCATTCATATCACCTTTATTTTTATGAAAATAAATTAAAAATATATTTTTTGTGATTTGTTTAAAATATAAATTATTTATTATAGCAGAAAGCTTAGGAACCTAGATCTTGATCAAAAATGGATTGTGGGGGTAGAGATTGAAATTTTGTATTGTAAGATCCATGTGTAGAATGAACCTGAATCACATATTGATATTTCTGAATAAATTTTGAATATATTATTATGGGTTTATAGTATTCCTCTTATTATAATTTAAAAATTATGTTATGCTCTTTCAAGTCTCTAATTACATAACAAATAACTCTTTTTATTAATGAATTATTAAGTCAAATAATAATTTTTAATAATATTATAAATATATTTTAATTAATAATTCCTGTAATTCTATTGTTGTATAGAAGAGTAGTTATAAATTTTATTTTTTCTATTAATTTTGTTAAATAAATTTTTTTAAGAAGGGGATAATTGTAATTTTCAGAACTAAATGAACAATTTTTATTTTAAGCAAGCCCCAAAGATGTATTTATAATTTGTTCTATTTATTATATATACCTCCTTTTGTGGTATCTATTTCTTGTAAGTTTAGGATAATACCATACCATATGGAAGTTATAGCATTTCTTAGTTTAATTACAACAAATATAGTAACTCAATCATATGATAGTCATAAATAAAAAATTAAAAAAAAAAAGTTATAATCAAACACCATATAAGGTATTATAAAATAGTTTTTAGATTATAATTAAAATAATATCATAAGTAACATTATAATGAGTCATAACTAACAGCATAATAAGTTGTAACCAAAGGCCACAAAAATTGTAACCAAAGGTGCATGTGGTATATATTCTAAAGGGGCTGTACCATAGAATTTCTTGTAAGTTTAACAGCATGTGATTTGGCTTGCCATTCAATGTCAAACTAGTTGGAATGGTTTAGTTTGTTTTGATACTCTTTGCACACGTCTCTTTTATTGATGTAATTCAAATGGCTTGTTCATTGTTTTTCACTAATAAAGTTTTTTTTTTTACTGATAAAAAAAAATTCCATATTACTAGACACATAAATAAATTATATTATATTTTTTTTAAATAGAAGACAACTATAAGTATAAACTTAAATTATCAATTTCATAAAATAAAATGCAATTATTCATTCATTCATCGATATCTGATAATGTTAACTTTTTGCACAAAATAATTTTTATTGCAAGTTTTACTAAATGAACGGTTCAAATGATCTTTGTGAGCCTAGAGTGGGATCCATAAAGTAAAATATGAAGAAATATAGAGATTAGTGGTATGAAGAAAAATCATTCTCATATACTCTACCATGTTATTTAATTTTTCAAAAATTTTACAAAATTATTTGCTAGAATAATGTGTTATTAACAATTTTGTTATTAAAACATCTCAATGCAATTTTGTTTTTAAATGCTAAATATGTAATTATGCAATATCATTTTATATGTAATTTCTATTTATATGTTATTATACCAATCTTATGATAATTTTATTGTTACTGGCACTTGTCATATCATTAAATAGGTACTGTTTTCATTTTTAAAATTAGTAAAAAAAAATTACAAAATTTATCATTGTTTTTCATCAATAAAATTTTTTCTTTTACTGATAAAAAAAAATTCCATATTACTAGACACATAAATAAATTATATTATATTTTTTTTAAAATAGAAGACAACTATAAGTATAAACTTAAATTATCAATTTCATAAAATAAAATGCAATTATTCATTCATTCATCGATATCTGATAATGTTAACTTCTTGCACAAAATAATTTTTATTGCAAGTTTTACTAAATGAACGGTTCAAATGATCTTTGTGAGCCTAGAGTGGGATCCATAAAGTAAAATATGAAGAAATATAGAGATTAGTGGTATGAAGAAAAATCATTCTCATATACTCTACCATGTTATTTAATTTTTCAAAAATTTTACAAAATTATTTACTAGAATAATGTGTTATTGACAATTTTATTATTAAGACATCTCAATGCATTTTTGTTTTTAAATGCTAAATCTGTAATTATGCAATATCATTTTATATGTAATTTCTATTTATATGTTATTATACTAATCTTACAATAATTTTATTTTTACTGGCACTTGTCATATCATTAAATAGGTATTGTTTTCATTTTTAAAATTAGTAAAAAAAATTTACAAAATTTATTTATTTGCTTTGTTTTTTATTTATTTATAAAAATAAACATTTAGTAACAAGTCATTGTTTGATATTAAATCATTCTCAGTATATTTTAATTTATTAAATCCTCTTAAAGCAGTTTCAACTGGTTCTTCAAAAGAAGTATGTTAGTTATTGTAGTTAACTTCATCATTTTTTTAACAAGATTCTTCTAGGTTAGTTACATTTAGAGAGTCGTGGGAGGCTCTTTAAATTAATTTGTGTTATTAAATATGTGAAATAAAGAGTAACATTGGAGCGCATAGACGAAAAGTTAGTCAAGTAAAATATGAAGAGTATTCATTTTTCATAATTTTAGTTAGTAAAAAATGAAGAATAACATTGAAGTTGCTCTTTCATCAATTTTTTGGGAAGGATTGGGTTTCTCTCATGTACAAAATTTGAACTTGATCGTCAATGTTATGGTTTATGGGGTGTCCAGGTCTCGTTTCGATAATCCAAATTATTTATTTTGTAAAATTTTATGTGTATATGATTAATGAAAAAAAATTAAGTTTATTCAATAATCATAATATTTTCATTTTATCAGATTTCTTTTTGCAAAACTTAACAATAAGTATATTTTTTAAAATAGGCCGTCAATTTTTTTAGGAACAAAAGCAAAATATATATATATATATATATATTTTGATTATTGAATCAACTCAATATTTTTCAAGACTAATATGCATGGAGAATTTTACAAAAAAAAAAAATTTGAATCATCAAAAATAACAATCATAGTGAGCCTCACACATCCTAGATGATCAAGTTCAAATTTTGAACTTGAGAAAGTCCCCGTCCTTTCCACATATACTCTCCCATGTAAATATCTTAGTGCGTCCTTTCCACAAAGACTCGCATGTAAATATCTTGTGCGATTAGTTGAAATGCCCACTACAATTCGAAATGTTGATATGACATTTATTTTATTTTTGTTGTTTCAAAGCTTAATAAAATTATGACCTTTATTATACACATCCATTTTGAATAAAATTTATATTTTCAAAATTTGCACAACGGGATATTAAACAAGATTAATATTGAATATAGAATTTTACAAAAATAAAATATTAATTTTTTAATTGTATGAAATGGAGAAATTCTCGATTTCAATCTTGAAAAAATGAGAATTTGTTTAGTTTCACACAATAATGTTCCATACAGTTGCTTTGCTAAAAAACTTTTTTTTTATATAATTTTATATTTAATATTTAATATTAATCTTACTTGAAAAATTTTGACGAGTACGATCTAAAAATATAAATTTTATTAAAATAAAAAATGTAAAATGAAAGTTATAACATTTTAAATTTTAGAACACAAAAACTAAAAATAAAACTCCACATATGTGTAACAACACAATGTAGAGAAATTATTCCATCTTCCTAGAGCAAGTTTAAGTGGTACTCCAAATACATTTTCATCGGCTAAAACAGTGAGTCCTATTGATTTGTTTTTGTTGAGTTTGTAAGAAACAAATGGACATGTGTCAACTTTTCAATGGTATAGAGCAATGGTATTGTTGGCACCCTAAATCTGTAATTTTATTATTTATTATTTATATAATTGCAGGATATGTGTCACCCTTCTACTCATTTGGAGGTTATGAGAAGTTATGAAATGTGGAAAGATGATGGAGAACATGGATGTTGAAGCGAAGGTTGAAAGAAGTTATGGAAGATCATGGAGTATGAAATAGAGGAAGTGGAAGAGTGGGCAGTTTTAGGTATTTTTTTTTCCTACAAATGTTTGCTTATAAATAGCTATTCATGGCTACATTGTAAAAATTGACAACTAAAATCAAATACAATTGATTTCTATTTTTTCTTATCATTTATATTCCTGCACTTTATTTTCAACCCTTCATTTTCGAAGCATAGGAGTAGAGGTAATTTTATACACTTCCTTTTCAAAGCATAGGAGTAGAGATAATTAATTGTTACTTTGATTGTTCACTCAATCATCTTTCTCTGTCTCCCTTCTTATTCTTTTTTTTTTTTTTTTTCTCTATACTTGGAAATTTTGAAGTCCTCTTCATTAAGGCAAAAGAATCGTCAATACAATCGCTTGATAATTGACGTGAATTTAATCTGTAAGGGTTTTTCAATCCTTACTAGCACACTTGCATTTATGATATTTTCTTT